ATAAATAAATAAGCACTAGACCTTGGCATCAACTGTCAAACATATCAACTCCCCCCCCCCCCCCATCAGCTGATCGCTAGTAAACAGACCATTTCATTCCCATAATTTTAGATGTGTTGATTTATGAGTGTTTGTTTTTAACATAATACTACAAAAACAATGTTTTGTTTATTCTAGAGATGGCTGAGGTGCATCTGCAGACTCAGTCTTTTAGTACTTTTAGTTTTCTGGCACCAAACTAAATTATTCCATTGACACAACACTTCGATTTAGTGTGAATTCAGCTTCTTAAAGCTCACTCTTGAACGTGATCTCGTGTTATATCCATCGTTTACTGTACAGATGCCGAGCTACTTCAGTCCTGAGAAGTTGCTCCAAGTATATAAGGGATTCATTCATCCTAACTTGAGTACTGCTCTCATATCTGGGGTGGCTCTTCTTTCTGTCCAACAGTTAGATAGGATGGAATCAAAGGTATTTCGCCTTTTATTAACCTCCTCCTTAGTCGACAATCTAACTTCTTTGCCGCAATGTTGCTTCACTCTCTCTCGTTTTAATGGGCAATGTTCGGTGGATTTGGCATCCTGTGTATCGGGCCGCGCGGGCTCGTAAATCTTGTCTTCCCAGCGGTGCCCACCATTTCTCTGCGAATGTCGGTCACACTAGAATAACCCATTATAGTACACTCTTCTTTCCTCACACAGATACAGGTAGTTCTGCTATAACGCGATAATTGTGTTCTTGTAAAATATCGTGTTATAGAAAATCGCGTAATAGAAATAACAGGGCTTATGGAGAAAATAGGGTTAGGTGCAGATTACTCGAAATCGAAAAAATTTAGTAGTTAGCCTAACACAAAGGATAGCACAGTCTAAATAAATGTTACATTCATATTCAATAATGAAATCATACAGTAAATTTAACACTTTACCTTGAAAAAATATGAATGTAACTTGATGGGGAGAAGGGTGATTTTGAGGTTGATAACATCGAGCTTCTCTTCAAGTGTTATATCCTTTCTTTTACGATAATCACCGAATTCTATCATCAGAATGCTTTTGGAGATATTCTTCTTTACCATATTCACAGTTAATACCACAAAATTGGAGAAATAGTAAGCAAAAAATCGCGTTATAGCAAACAAGCGTCACAATATACAAATATTGTTCAATTCATAAATCATAAGAGAGCAAATTTATCAAAACACGCCTATAGCAGAACTCACTGTAAACCGTGGAATGCTCTGCCTTCTTCTGTGTTTTCATACTCAAACAATGTCTCACTTCAAAAGGTAGTTTTCCGCATCTTCATGTGTAGATTAGTATAATCTTTTTTTTTCTATTTATAATTTTTTACTTTATTTTTTGCCCCCAGGCCTCGCAAGGGTCGATGACCTGTGCCCGGTGGGCTATTCTCAAAAAAAAAAAAAAAAAAAAAATACCTTGCATTATTTGATTTTAGCCTTTTAAGCCTTTATTTTCATTCTGTGGCATATGACCTAAGCTGTTGCATTGCCAGGGATGTAATTACCACAATCAATCAATCTTATGGGAAAAAATTCGTCATTATAAAACGTTTCACTACGTCACATTTCTCTGCAACACATCCCCATTGTACAGTATAATGAAGGCCCCCAAATACCCTCAAATTTAAGAACATGAATTTGTATTTCATAAATTTTCATGACCACACTGTGGCTAGTCACAAAAAGGTATTTTTGTAAACATTTCATTTTCTCTCTGTGACTAAGAGAATAATTCTTACATGGGGCATGTACACTCAAGCTTAGGTAAAGTGGTGAACAAGCTATGTCCAGGATAAGTGCTCCCCATAGGCCACATTAAAATTTCTTACTTGACACAACAAAATTCTGTGACTGCTGATGTCCAGGAATTAGCGGTAGTGTGCAGGTATTAGTGGTAGTGTCCAGGTATTAGTGGTAGTGTCCAGGTATTAGTGGTAGTGTGCAAGTATTAGTGGTAGTGTGCAGGTATTAGTGGTAGTGTGCAGGTATTAGTGGTAGTGTCCAAGTATTAGTGGTAGTGTGCAGGTATTAGTGGTAGTGTCCAGGTGTTAGTGGTAGTGTGCAGGTATTAGTGGTAGTGTGTAGGTATTAGTGATAGTGTGTAGGTATTAGTGGTAGTGAGTAGGTATTAGTGGTAGTGTGCATGTATTAGAGGTAGTGTCCAGGTATTAGTGGTAGTGAGGAGGTATTAGTGGTAGTGTGCAGGTATTAGTGGTAGTGTCCAGGTATTAGTGGTAGTGTACAGGTATTAGTGGTAGTGTCCAGGTATTAGTGGTAGTGTGTAGGTATTAGTGGTAGTGTGCAGGTATTAGTGGTAGTGTCCAGGTATTAGTGGTAGTGAGTAGGTATTAGTGGTAGTGTGCAGGTATTAGTGGTAGTGTCCAGGTATTAGTGGTAGTGTGTAGGTATTAGTGGTAGTGTCCAGGTATTAGTGGTAGTGTGTAGGGATTAGTGGTAGTGTGCAGGTATTAGTGGTAGGTATTAGTGGTAGTGTGGTAGTGTGCAGGTATTAGTGGTAGTGTGCAGGTATTAGTGGTAGTGTGTAGGTATTAGTGGTAGTGTGCAGGCATTAGTGGTAGTGTGTAGGTATTAGTGGTAGTGTGCAGGTATTAGTGGTAGTGTGTAGGTATTAGTGGTAGTGTGCAGGTATTAGTGGTAGTGCACAGGTATTAGTGGTAGTGTGTACAGTAGGTATTAGTGGTAGTCTCCAGGTATTAGTGGTAGTGTCCAGGTATTAGTGGTAGTGTGCAGGTATTAGTGATAGTTTCCAGGTATTAGTGGTAGTGTCCAGGTATTAGTGGCAGTGTGCAGATATTAGTGTCCAGGTATTAGTGGTAGTGTGTAGGTATTAGTGGTAGTCTCCAGGTATTAGTGGTAGTGTCCAGGTATTATTGGTAGTGTGCAGGTATTAGTGGTAGTGTGCAGGTATTAGTGGTAGTTTCCAGGTATTAGTGGAAGAAGCTATCAGTGTCAAGTTCATTCCCAAACTAGTGAAACACCCTGACTTAACCCCAGCAGAAAGAGCACTTCTTGCACTTCCACCAAGACTGGGAGGGATGGGACTAACTAATCCAGAGGAGATTGCTGCCACTGAGGATCAAAATTAACCCAAGCTCACGGCAGCCCTCACGGACCACATAATAGCCCAGAATGCAACAGGGGAAGTGGATACCAGCAAAGTAAATAAGATTCGTAGGTCCATTACGACAGATCGACAGCACTGCCAAAATGAAAAGTTGCAGCAACGATTGCTGCAGGTTCCAGAAAATTTGAAAAAAAAAGTAGCTATAGCGCAGGAGGTGAGCGCCTCGAACTGGTTAACTACGTTACCGATAAGGGCAAATGGTTTAAGTCATAATAAACAAGAATTTACAGATGCCATTGCTCTAAGGTACGGTTGGCCAGTAGAAGGTTTGCCCTCCCAATGTGTGTGTGGCTCTTCCTATGATGGCGATCACGCCATGATGTGCAAGAAGGGGGGCTTCATATGCATGAGGCATGACGAGGTAAGGGATCTCATAGCAAATATGTTGAAGGAAATCTGCCGGGACGTCATGGTAGAACCGACCCTCCTTCCATTGGATGGCGAGATCTTCCAACACAGGACTTCAAACACATCTAACGAAGCCCGCGTGGGCGTCAGTGCTCGAGGATTCTGGACGCGGGGACAGCGAGCTTTCTTCGACATCAGGATTTTTGATCCCATGGCCGCATGTCACCGTAACCTAGCTCTCGATGCTGCACATAGGAGGAACGAGAACGACAAGAGAAGGGCATATGGGGAGAGAATTCAAAACGTTGATCAAGGCAGCTTCACTCCTCTAGTGTTCACAACCTCTGGTGGGATGGGCCCAAGTGCAAGATGTTTCTACGCCAGACTCGCGGAGTTGATCTCCGAACAGAAGCAGCAGCCCAGAAGTTATGTTACAGCCTGGATGAGATGTCGACTGTCCTTCTCTCTCCTTCGGTCGGCTTTGCTCTGCCTCAGGAGAACGAGAGCTTCTGCCCCTACTCCGACAACTGCTGCAGATATTGACTATGAGGCTACAGTCACTGAATGCCGCATAGATCTGCGGCTCAACTAATTTAACACAGATAGGATAGCTTCTTATGTATTAGGATATTTAATATTAAGGTAAATAAATGGCGGCTGTGGGCGTGGCTGGCTAGGCTGGAGGCCACATTAAAAAAAAAAAAAAAAAAAAATTAGTGGTAGTGAGTAGGTATTAGTGTAGTGTGCATGTATTAGAGGTAGTGTCCAGGTATTAGTGGTAGTGAGGAGGTATTAGTTAGTGCAGGTATTAGTAGTGTGCAGGTATTAGTGGTAGTGTGCAGGTATTAGTGGTAGTGTGTAGGTATTAGTGGTAGTGTGTAGGTATTAGTGGTAGTGTGTAGGTATTAGTGGTAGTCTCCAGGTATTAGTGGAAGTGTCCAGGTATTAGTGGTAGTAGCCAGGTATTAGTGGTAGTAGCCAGGTATTAGTGGTAGTGTGTAGGTATTAGTGGTAGTGTCCAGGTATTAGTGATAGTGTGCAGGTATTAGTGGTAGTGTCCAGGTATTAGTGGTAGTGTGCAGGTATTAGTGGTAGTGTGCAGGTATTAGTGGTAGTGTGCAGGTATTAGTGGTAGTGTGCAGGTATTAGTGGTAGTGTGTAGGTATTAGTGGTAGTGTGCAGGTATTAGTGGTAGTGTGCAGGTATTAGTGGTAGTGTGCAGGTATTAGTGGTAGTGTGCAGGTATTAGTGGTAGTGTGTAGGTATTAGTGGTAGTGTGCAGGTATTAGTGGTAGTGTGCAGGTATTAGTGTCCAGGTATTAGGATGCATAGAAGAGACTGAACAGGACATCTTGCTGGATTATTGGGAATGTGTTTAATGAAGATCAGAAAGAAAAAATAAATTAAATTGCAGCGGAGTTTGAGTACTGTAATCAAGAAGCTTTACCAACACTGCCAAAGACACTACAGCACAGTACTAACCTGGAGCATTTCATGAGGTGAAACATGAGCCTTGAAGTTTCTTGGATTCCACAACTTGCGCACCAGTTCCCCAAATCTGTTAATGAGTGGGAACATTGCTAGGCCTTGGGTGCCCGGTGCATGGTGAATGTGGCTGTAGTTGTTGGGGTCCAGGAAGTAGTTACGTAAAGGAGTAATGTTTGACAAAGCCTATAAGAAAATGTATCTATTTGGAATTAAATCCTATAGAGTCCAGGAAGAACAAATACAGTAGTATTTTACTGTTCAAAACATACAAATTAATAAAAATTTCTGTAACAAAAAAATAGATGTTTTACAATAATATCAGTTTTGTGTTTAGCAACCATTGGGATAAAACTGGCAAGCACACAAAAAGTAGGATAGGGTAGGCAGATAGAGGATGATAATAAATCCCCAAATAATACATTTTTACACACCTCAGGACGCCTCACTGCTGAGTGGCAACAATTTACATATCGTACTACAATACATATAATATACTTCTAATATCAATAGTTACAGAAAAAAGTTCACAAACAGACATACAGATAACATGACTACTAAAACACATTCTCATTCTCTGAGTTGGGAGAAAATGTTAAGATTAATTAAACAGAACACGCATGTGTGCCGTAGTGTCAACAAAGGCTGCAAAAGACTGCTCCTTAAAAGTCGTATTTCTGACGAATTCAGCGAGTCTAGTAATCCCAGCCTGTGCAGACAACTATAGTAAGACCCAATTATCAGCACAGTGGCATCTATTTTTTTTTTTTACCTTTGGACTTTGTCATTTTTGGGGGATAAAAACATCTGGTCCGACCACCCGGTCCCTCTGGGCAAAGTTTTTCAAGTTTGCGCATGCGCAATGTGAAGTGTGAAGTAGCAGTGACATCTTTACCACTCCACCTGACTGCAGTGTTGCCAACGTGCCCTATGCCCACCGTTAAACGCTCCCGTTCGTTGGAGACGGCGGCAGTATGTGACAGTGATGCTGACGACTTTCTTCTTCAAGACAAGTCAAAGAAGCAGAAACCTCAGAAGTCAGGGTCTCCAGCAGGGGCAACGGCTCCCTCTCGCACCCCGTCTGGGGCTGCATAGGGTGGCCTCCTTCCGTCATAAGGGTCCCCAAATGAGCTTACATGTGGCTCAATGACCGACCCTCCGCCGACGATAGGGGATTCCCTTTGTCTCCCTGCCCCGTCACGCCTTCGTCGTCTCGCCTTTCCTCGGGACTTGGCTCTGAGCACACGGACGACCTGGTTCTTCCGTCACTGCTCTCCACTTCAGGACTCAACACTTCGCCTCCGCCGAGGTCCTACGTCCGTAATAGTCACCACACAAATGGACGAGACGGTATGCCTGCTCACTCAGGTGGGCTTTCCTGCTCCAAAGGGGGAGGTGATGCTGAAATTCACCACCATCACCCCAGAAACTCGTCGTACCAAGGTAATGGTTCGCCACGTACCCTGGGAGATCCCTATCGACGATCTTCGCCCTCTTCTCCCACAACTACTAGACATGGAGCGCCGCATCAACCCGGTTTCCAAATGTCCATCCAACGAACTCATCGGCTGGTGGGTGGGCCCCCTACCTCCGAAGGTGAATGTAGGATCTATTCACAACTGTCCTCTCGACCAATTTATCGGAATCCCGAAAATCTGTGGTCGTTGCCAATCGTGGAAACACTGCACCTGGGAGTGCATGAGGATGGTCGCCTGCGGTTTCTGTGCAGGTCCTCACGACAAAGTGGAATGCAAATCGAAAATTCAGAACAAAATCCCAGTTATTCCACGGTGTGTCAACTGCCATGGCAGTCACCACGCTTAGAATGCCAACTGCCCACAGCACCCTGGCACTCGCCAGGGGAAAACTTACCTTGTACCACCGCCCTTATCTCTGATGAAGCCCCTGTCAAACAACCTCACTCCTATCCACCACCGCCTCTTCCATCCACCAAGGATTTCCCATTGATCTCCTCTCTTCTACCATCCCCCTATCACCCCTACCACCCATCCTTTCTCCTCTCCCTACCGTTCTTGGAACAAGGTCGTTGCCAGCCCTGCCACACATTCACCACCACCTCCTGCCCACCTGGACCCCAGCTGTCCTTCACCAGCACCACCACCTCTTGCTCACCTGAACCCTCACCGTCCTTCTCCGTCCCTACCACCACCACCTGCCCAGTCGGGCCCTTGCCAATCCTTGCCGCCACCTCCAGATCCTGTACAGGTACACCAAGTTGGTTCTACGGAAACAATCACTCTCCGTCTGGATCGCCACTCCAAGCAAATCAACCTTCTCTCTGCCCAACTCGACTCGTTTGTGAAAACAATTGCGACATTGCAGAGGCAACAACAACTCATTCTGGACACCCTGACCCAACAGGGGCGCACTTTGCAAGCCCTAGTGACCCGCCTCCTTCCTTCTCCCGAGATGGAGGATCCATCCCTCGCTCTCCCACTCCTCCCTCTCCATTATCCTCAACAGAATTTGGTACCTCCTCCGGAGCCCTGTCTAGCCCCTCTGACTCATCTCACACCGGAGGCCGTTCCCTCCTCTTCTTACAATAGAACATCCAGGGACTTAGACCTCGCCGGACAGACCTCGCCCAGTTTGTGCTCTCCCATCAAGTAGATGTTGCTCTACTTCAGGAAACCATCACAGACGATGTTACTCCACTCCGCCTCTCTGGCTATACTGTTTACACCCTGCCTCAGTACCGTGGGCAGGCTCGTGGCCTCCTCACCCTTGTGCGTAACACCACTCCATCTGTTCGTCTCCCTTCACCTGACTCACATGGACCCCCGTCTGAATTACTTTCTGTCTCCCTTAGTCTTGGTGGCCGGACCCTTCGTATAGTCAATGTTCATTTCAAGAGCGATTCTCTGGACCCCAGGTTCTTCACGACCTCCATGATGGGGTTCCCACTATTGTTCTTGGTGACTTTAATGCCCGCCATTCCACTCTTATTCCAGATCATCCCACGCCATGTACCCTTAACGGATCACATCTCTCACAGTTTCTTAACGGGGATGATGATGTTCGCTTTCCTTGTCCTGACGATCCTACTCGCCTCCCCCATAGTTTGCTTGATGTTGGCTTACTATTGAATGGTCATACCTCCTTTCATCCTACAGTCTGCACCGAGCCTGCTCTGTATAGTGACCATCTTGTCGTTACTACCCATCTCAGGCTCTCCTTCTCTGCCCCTACATCAGTTCCTTATCGATCCCCTCGCCTTCGTCTCACACAAGATGCTGTTCCTTCCTTTACCCAATACCTTTCTACCTGGGCAGATTCCTATGTTGTCCCCACAGTCCCTTGAGTCTTACAGCGCTGATTTTGTTGATGCCGTGTATGACTCTGTCAATCGCGCTACCCCTCCACGCCCTCCCCGTTACCCCAGAAGTGCCACCAACTACTGGTATCGTATCCCTGCCATGAGACATCTCCGGCAAGTAACCCGTGATCTCCACTCTGCCATAGAGAGGTCTCGGTCTCCAGAGGACTGGGAAGACTTCAAAAACTGGTGCTCCTTTGCAACTCAGGAGCGTCGTCAGATTCGTGAGGCGGACTGGTTATCCTTCACGGGGTCTCTATCGTTCCAGTCATCGTCCTCTTATGTTGGAATCGGATTAATGCTATACGGGGTACTCGACGGAGGCCTCCTCCCCACCCTGACCCCGCCTCCCTTGCCTGCTCTTTAATGGAGGACTGGGCACGAGCTTCCTCCCCTGAGGCACTTCCAGATCCAATGCAGGAGGCAGTGCAGGCCCGCATCGATGCGTCTGAGCCTGTTGTTCGTGCTGCTCTTACCTCCCCTGCCCCCACTTATCATCCCATCACACAGTTCGAGTTTGACAGTGCTCGTCGCTCTAGAAAAGACACCTCTCCTGGGGATGATCAGATAACCTACTCCGTCCTCAACGCCTATACTAATACTCCTAACGGCCCCTTGCTTGCTCTCTACAATATGTCTTATGAACATGGGGTTCTCCCGTCTAACTGGAAAAATGCCACTATTATCCCCATACCTAAGCCGGGAGATCCTGGGAAATATCGACCCATTAGTCTTATCTCCTGTGTTTGCAAGATGATAGAGAGGATCTCCATCGTCGCCTTCCACAACTCCCTCAATGGTTTCATACAACATCGCAGCACAGCACACTCCATCGCTTCCTTTTATTGCAATCAGACTGCCCATATCTCCGTCTTCCTTGATATCAAGGAAGCCTTTGATACGGCTCAGCCTGCCCTCATTTTAGCTGAGCTTGCGCTGTTAGGGGTTAAAGGGAGACTTCTTCAATGGATCGCCTCTTACCTCACCGGACGTCAGGCCCGGGTTCGCGTTGAAAGCTCTATATCTCCTGTTCAAGAAATGAACCTCGACACCCCTCAAGGTGGAGTCCTGAGCCCCACCTTGTTTAACACTCTCATGCATTCCATTGCATCTCTCCCGTGGCCGACAGAAGTTGTCCACTCAGGATATGCCGACGATGTCCTCCTCCAAGCCCCTGACTACCTCAGCATGCAGGAAGCCCTTGATCTGGTCTCCAGAGTGTGATTCACTTGGTTTCCTTCTTTCAACTGCGAAAACAAAAGCCATGTGGCACGGTCGTGTTGTACCTCCACCCCTTCTCTTATCAGGAATGCCCTTGGACTGGGTTAATGAGACAAAATACCTGGGTGTGTATGTAACTCGCACACGTTGTCAGATCCTTGAAGTCCGCTATCTTTGAGACATATGCTTTCGGCGTCTCGCTCCCTTCTCTACCATGTGCAGGGGTTCCCTTGGTGCCACCATCCCTGTACTTCTCACCATGTACAAGTCCTTTGTCCGTTCCTGTGTCGACTACGACGTCCCTGCCCTCGTCAACATTAGTCAGACTGCTGTCAACCGTCTCAAAGTTATCCAGAGGAAAGCTGCTCGTATCATCCTTGGGGCTCCTCAGTGGACACGCTCTACTTCTCTATACTGTATACCGAACTTGGTCTTTCCCCCTTACAGGATCGTGTCCAGGAGTTTTACCTAAAAACTACCGCGTCCATTCTACCGGATCCTCGGGGCAACTATGTCCAAACCAACTTTACTCCTACTGTCTGAGGCCGACCTCCATCTAGAAGACAGTGGCGAGAGTCACTCATCCGAGCCCTTCAGGAACACGACCTCCTGCCTGATATTGTTGTCA